AGGGAGGCACGGCGAAGGGGACAATGCCCCTCTCCCTTCCCCTTCCCTCACGCCTCTAATTCTCCAGAGAATGGGGGGACGAGGGGCACGCTCCACCTATTGAACCCCCCATCCCCTTTTCCCCATTATCCCCACACCGTGCGACAGCCCCTTTCAACTCCATGGCACAACCCCTCCACAAACTTGTCGCAAGATGGGGAAAGTTACGCCAGTTCACTAAAAATATATCGTACTAAAGTACTGGATTTTCTCACACAGGTCAGTTTTTTCTTCTTCTTTTCTTTAGGGGAGGTATAGCGTGTCGACTGTGGGAGTGGGAGAAGCAGAAGTGTTGGCGAAACAAAAAGAGCAAAAGAATAAAGCGAGTCCGTAGATTTCACCAGAGTAATTTTTGACTTCGTGTTGGTTTTTGTGATGTGCGCAGCACACAGAGGAATGGGGACATGGACTAGCATGATAAGGGCCTCTGGTGTCAGGACGGAAGGCGACGCCACCGTCGGCCTTGTCCTGGTTCCAACGCCAGTGCGAGGCGAGCGCCCGGGACCATCCCGTCCCGGTCGCCCTCATCATCAGATCACACCCTCCACTGCGGCGTCAGCAAGACGGTGGAAAAGGGGCCATCGCCGGCCGAGCGTTCGTCTCGGGTGAGGCGAGGCGAGGGGGTCCCTTTGTGATCTGCTGGGAGGATGCGAGGGGCGGAACGGGCTCTGCTGTGGCAGACATTTGGGAGGAAGTGGCGGACGCTGAGTCCTTACGGCCGGGGAGAGCGGTGCGGGACCGGCGCGGACCCTCTGCATAGCCCCCGCCATGGCCCCGCCCCTAGGACCCTCCACTAAGGACCCCCCGCGGGGCTCGGGGGCGATGGCCTCGCGCACCCCCACCGGGGCCCACCGCGCCGAGCTGGCCCCCCGCGCCGCCCCCTGCAGGACCTGCCTGGAGTGGGTGGCGGCGGCGGGGTGGTGCGCCCGGCCCGGCCCCGGTAGAACAGAGACACCCACCCTCCGCCGCGCTGCTGGCGGCGCTGCTACGCGGCGCCCCTAAACACCCGCGGGGCGGTGTGTCAAAGCGAACATTGACACAAGTACACTCCGAGCGGGAAGTGAGCGGTGGCGGCCGGCAGCGGCCCACAAGACAAGAGGGTCGGCTGGCCGGCCAGGCACTTCCTGCTCACCGCAGGCGCCGTTCTAGGGCCGGCGGAGAGGGAGGGGTTTGCGGGCTGCCTACTCACAGGGGTTCTGTCCTGCGCATTGCCTGGTTTTTCTTCTTGAGGCTGAGCGAGCGGGATTGTCTACGCCCACCCCCTTTCCAAACACGCCTGGCTCACTGACACTCATATTCTTCAACTTTAACAAGGGTTGTGTTGTAACGACTGGAACAGAGAAGTTAACACAAAAGTTGGACCCTCCGAAAAACCACCCCGTCGTGAATTTCTTTAGAGAGGCGCCGAGTGTCTTTGTCTCGCCTATGGAGACACGACGCGCGTTCTTGGCGAAGTCATCCCCCTTCCCCCTCTCTCGCCCCATAGCACCACGGCCAGCACGTCCCGGGTAGCGTTTCTGCGCCCGTCCGTTTGACGACTCGGTGTGTATTGATCGCGAGCCGAGGAGGCGGCGGGGTGGACGGGGCTAAAAGAGAGGGTGAGCGAAGAGGGTGCGGCCGCGCGCATGCACCATCGCCGTTGCCGTGGCGCAACGGGGGAGGCAGGGCGGCGGCGCGCCCCTCTTGTGCCGCACCCCGCGGCCCGGCCCGGCCCCGCCCCGCCCAGGACGGACAACAAATTTACTCATCCTGAGCCTGAGAGGAGGCAAGGGGAGGAGAGGGCGGCAGGGCGGCTCTGTTGCAAGCTCAGCGTGCCGCCGCCGTCGTATCGCCGCCCGCCCCGCACAGCATGCACTAATTATTGGCGTGGCGGATCAAACATGCGCGCTCCAATGCTCCAAAACCTTCGACGAAAGGGGGCAGGGAAAAGACAAACATGAGAATCATCCAAAATCATCCGAGTTTGGGTGAAATGCCCCCCAGTGTTTCCGGCAGCCTCCGCCAGATGGCAGCGCTGCCGGACTCCCGCACGTTCATCTCATCGCCTTCACGGGGCGCGGCAGGCGGAGTGACTCCGCACAAAGGGTCCGGGCGCGATAAGAGCCTCAAGCGGGGCGGCTCTAAGGCCTTCGATCGAGAAGGGCTTGACGGGGTCCTCGTTCCGCAAGAGAAATGAGAGAGGGGAGGGGAAAGGGGGGGGGAGGGGGCTGGAGCTGGGGCTGGGGTGGACCTCCCCCGCATCCTCGCACCACCTCGGCGCAGCATCCCCCGGCGGCGGAGGAGAGAGGAAGGGCCTCACCCTCCCTCGCGCCACCCCCGCGCGCTCAGCCCCAGCCCGGCGGCCCAGCTCCCCCACGGCGCCTGCGCCCAACTTGTTGCCACCCACCCATAAAACAAAAGAGTGTCTCGGCTGCCAAACACGGGGCGAGGGGCCGCCGCCGACACCACCGCGGTGCAGCCCGAGCGGAGAGTGCAGACGGACGGAGACTGGGATCCGCAGCCCGGCCGCGCCGATAGGAAGCGGTACCGGAACACCTTTATCGGGAACGACAAAAAGCAAACACCCTCGAGCCAGCCCAGCCACGGCTCTAGGGATGGGTCGCAATCCCAGAAAGAAGTTGGACAATAAATAGAACAAATAAGAATTGGGTCCGTTTTGATTTATTTCCCAGAGTTTCCACAAACAAATCATCCATACGGCAAACAGATTTAGCGGAGAATTTGTGTGCAATCCCTTCAGAACATAACAGGGGAAGGGGTAGAGAGAAAGAAAGAGAGCGAGAGGGGGTGGGGACGTCAAGCAGCCAGAGGCCGCAGGCAGGGGGCGGCGGAAGGCAAGGGGTTCCACTAAGGGGGTAAGGGGGCGTTCAGAGCGATCGCGCGGCGAGGCTAAGGGGGCGAGGCTGGTGAGGGGTTGAGGGTGAGGGGTGAGGCCACAGCGCCAGCGAGGCGCGTAGGTGCGCAGTGGCCTGGCGCATCGGCCACCCACTTCGCCAGCTCCCCTCCCCCCTCGGAGAGCCCAGACACGCGCATCGACCAGCAGCCAGCCGGCCGGTCCGCCCGAGCAGCCAGCCGCGGGGCGGGGTGGGTTTGACCCGGGCGGGGAGCGGCAGGGTGGGGTGGCGGCAGAGGGGGAAGGGGTCACGTGACGTCACGGGCCCTTCACCTGCCCCATGGCTCGGACCCTTAAGGCCCCTACAGCTGCAGGGGGTCGGAGGGGAAGGGAAGGGCAGGCGGGGAGGGTATGCATTTGCCTTGACTCCTGCGCGGGCGAGAGATGTTGTTACTGGCTGCTTCGCCTTTTATCGCCCACTGAGGCAGTGGGTCGGGCCCGCGGTAGGTGTAAAGGTGTGCGAGGCGGGCCCGTCGTGCAAGGACGCCGGGGGCGATAACAGCACGATAAGACCGATAAGACAGCCCGGCGATAACCAGTGTGATAACGTGCGGCGGCGCCCGTCCCTTCTCGCCCTCATCTCTTCCACTTCAAAGAGCCCCCCTGCGCGAGATGGGGAGGGGCGGCGGGGCCAGCCCGGGGGAGCAGGGGGTGAGCCAGGGCGCACCTCGCCTTTGTCCCGCCGCGGCGGCTTCCACATGTGGAGAGACATACATGTCTTCGCTGTGTATATAGAGCGAAGTGTCCGCCTCCTGCTGGCCTTTGTTGGGCCGAGCGCGGCGGGGACTCTGATTGCGCCACATCGACGCGGGGGGAGAATTGACGCCCTTGGAGGGCGAGAAGGATGTGGGCTAACGCGGGGTGAACATGTTGTGCGCAGGCCCCCGCCTTGCCACCGAGGGGGCGAGGGAAGGGTGGTGGTTGGGGTCTGTGGGCGCGAGCGAGGGGAGGAGGAGAGGGGGCGTCTCTGGTTTCTGGTTGGGGTTGTTGGGGTACTACTTGCACCCAGAGAGCGGCCTCTTCGCTCTACATGTGGGGCCTTCCCTCTTCCTTCTGGTGGAATAAGGTTCGGGAGTCTGACGCCACCCGTTTGTCTGCGATTCCATGCAAGACGAATCGCTCGGTATCGGCTGGAGAGAACGGGCCTCTGGAGAAGCAGAAGCACCAGCCCCGCGAAACGGAACGGACCCCGCGCTGCCGCCGGCTGCCAGCCCCGGCTGTCCGGCCGCGCGCTGGAGGTGATGGTGCTTGCATCTATCGGCGGGCACGAGAACCCAGGCAGGCAGGCCCACAAGGCACAGGCCGCCTCACCAGGCGCGGCGACGGGACGGGGCGGCCACGAAGCAACACCGTCGTGGTCGATCCACCCGTAACGCGCGCCTCTTTAGCTCAGTGGTAGAGCACTGGTCTCGTAAACCAGGGGTCGTGAGTTCAAACCTCACAGGAGGCAGGCAGCAATTTATTTTGAAATTGGCGCCGTCCGAACTCGGGTGTCGAAAGACGATCGAGTAATTAAAAGAAAATATTTTTGATCGTGGTATTATTTTATTTAAAATTCCGATGAAAAAACCTAATAATAGAAAGGTGCACTAGTTTTTTATCTTTATTTATTAGTCACAAAACAAAGCACAAAAGACTAAGAGCCGAGGCTCCATAGATACGGTTTAAATCGTAACTATATTTTAGTGGACGGATAACAGAGGTTTTACCTAGGTGTGCGAAAAGCTGCACAAAGCTGGCACGAAGAAATGTAACGTACTTCACAAAAAAAAAATTATCAAAAAGGAACTGCCGAAACCCGGGATCGAACCGGGGACATTTAGATCTTCAGTCTAACGCTCTCCCAACTGAGCTATTTCGGCAGATGGGGAGGGGAGGCCGCACACACGAAGACTCATCGCGGGCATGGGGACTTGCGGTGAGGAGTAGCGACGCGAGGTTGGGGCGCGGAGTAGCGCCCGACTACACAGGGCAGCACCTTGTAAACACGCACAACACACTGTGCTCGTCCCAGGCAAGACGGGCACGACAAAAACTACTGAACAGACGGCTGCAGTAGACGCCGAGCTTAGAGTCTAGTCACCAATTTTTATTTCCACAAGCAGCTCGACTTTCAATTTCAAACGCGGAGAGGAAAACTGCTGGAGATCACCGCCACGCCATCTCGCGGGCGCATGTAGAACTTGCCAGAGCGCTGGACATACACCGTGCGTCACGCGCCGCTCGTGGGACTTCCACCCATTGTAACGGTGTGTATGCAGCTCTTCGCACAAGAAGTGAGGGGAAGCACTGTGAGTTTGACAAACCTTTACATCTGCTCATGTGAAGCATGCCTCTGAGCTGCCCTCCACGTATTCAGTTCGTTGTGTATTTCCAGTAGCATAGCAGACTTACTGGTAGTCTGAGTGCCAGCCAGACAGCCTCTCGGGGCAGAATCGGTTAAACTGCTAAAAATAAAACACACAAAGGAGAGTATTGAAGGCACAACCAATAGAATCAAGACTTGATCAAAAACAACATGTCCAAAGACTTACCGTTCCTCTTTTTCTGAGAAATCATTCGGATCATAAGGCTTCAAAGGAACATTGCCATTCATTTCCAGAACCAATAGTTTGTAATCACGAGCTGAGAAGCTAGCAACATTCTTAGTTGTGTCCTGTTTCATATTTGAGTCTGCCATCATTTGACTGAGAATTATGTCTTGCACTCTAGAAATCTTATCGCTTAGATGTTCTACTTTCTTTTCCAGATGGCAAGACTAAACATTGAAAAATAATAATTAATTAAAAACTTGCTGCATACATTAAAGCTTAGATTTTATTGTAATTCTAAACTTACACTTTGATGATGAACTTCTAAATCTGAATGAATATTTGACTCATTACATATTGGGCTGTCCAACTTTTTGGTATGCGATACAACTGAAGCTGCCCTCCTAATACAAATGGGAACATGATACAGTTTCATTTCCATTTCTTTCACAAAACATGTTGGTGGTGATCCACTATTTCTAAACTTCAGAAAGAGCAGCCCTTTCTCTAGGTAAAGACAAGAGTAAAGAGACAGTACCTTGGGGGCTGTCTGTTTGAATTTTGATGCCTTATTTGTTTTCTTGTGTTAGTTTTGGATTCTTGTGGAGAACAGATTTTGGAGCAGAATCTTTCTGCTGCCGGGAGCACAGGTGGCAATATTCCACCTTTTCTCAGGAAATCATTTGTAGTCGAAGAACCAGTAGTGCTTTTGATAGAGTCCTGAAAATTTGTTGCCTTTTTTGTGGTTTTATGACGCTCTACTTTGGTTGACGGTTTGTTGGCTGTCATTATATGGATGCTACTTCGAACTTCTGAATGCATTTTCACAATCAACTACGATTACTTTCTGCAAATAAAGCGAAAAATTAAGTCACTTTAGACATTGTGAGGTTATTCGAATACAAAGGATGTCAGGTATAAACTCGGATTGGTGGCACAGCTAAACCGTACTCGGGGCGTCAAATTCATCTCTACCAACGTAAAAACTTTTGCCATCTTAACCACAGAAACGACAAATGAAATAAATTAGGGAATAAAGTTTTACCCACAGAGGTTACCGTTGAATTACCAGACCAGGTTGCCGGGTTTTCCAGATGCAACAAATTGAGATTCAGATTCAGATTCAGATTTACAAGCGAAAGGCAAGAAAGCAAGAAAGCTTCGTCGTTAAATTTATTGAGAATTATGAGTTAAATAATTATACTTTTTACATGAGAATATTACCAAAATGTAGGTTTCAGTCCCCTAACCAGTCAATAAGGAGGTTTTTTCGAAACAGATCCAAAGTCGACGAAGTTAATGAAGCGCATGCGTGAGAAACGCCATCTATTGACTACAGAGCGAACCACAGCGGAGAGAGCGTGGCCGCAGCCGTAGTTCTACTTCAGCTCCAATAGAGCGCAGCACAATTTGTGGCGGGTATTTGTTTGAATTTCTTGACAGAGATAGTCATTATTGCAACCTTTTCTCAAGTTGCAACATTTTAACCTTTACACCAGATCTAAATTACACCATACCAAGCGTATGTAAAGAAAGAGGTTTCTCCATTTGTATCAATCATGTTTGATGCCCTGTCCTTGTTAGTTTTAGACCTTCTGAGCCGGTCGGAGCGCAAATTACGAGCGCTTGGGGCCTGTGATACTCAGGGTAGGCCACACCGCAATACACGAATGCACAACAGGCGAGATGTTGCCAGCCCGAGTGCCCCACCTACCCTTACGGCCTCAGGGCCGACCTGAAGTTCAAGTAGAATCGGAACACGGCTCACCTCCGTTGGCTTGGCAGCTTTGGTGGCAGGGTCGCTGTACCTGACGATTGGATTCGGCACTCGGGGTTGTGGGTTCGATACCCGCGTACCCCTCGGGACGGAAAAAGATAACCGTCCTCTAGGAGGTAAGGCCTGGAATCTGGGTTTCAGTCTGGCTCACTTTGCGACACCTGTAAGTCCAACAACCGGTAGTGGGAGTATGTTCTGACTTCTCACAAGGAAGCGGCTGATTCCTTTACGAACCCAGAAGTCGCCGCCGACTGCGGGGTGAGGGGCGTCTCCCCCATTTGTAATTATTATTATTTATTTATTTTTGACCGGGTGGGGAAGTTGGGCTTGAGCATTTACGGCTGCACTACGCCATACTCGCGGGCTTTCCCTCACTGCACTTAAAGTACCCCTTCATGGCCATGGCCTCTGAAGCCTGTTCGTCTTTGGAGCTTCCCAAATTTCAGCACATCGACGAGGTCGTAGAAAATGAGGTCGGACAAAAGCTAGGTCGGACAGTACTTTGGGGGATTTTGGAAAAATCACCAGGTCGGAGGAAAATAGGTCGGACAAGCTGCAACGCAGCCCGGGGGCCCGAACGACCTCAGCACTACCAGATTTGGACTCATGCAAGAAAACTCCCTCACACGAAATTTCAATGGTCGGTCCAGCCCGGAGCCCGGCAAACAAGGTTGAATCTAATGTGTGTAAAACACAGATTTAGCAAGCAGTAAATGTGGCACAACAAAAAAAATATACCAGAAAATATAAGAAATAATATGAATTTATTTCCATACAGTAAACAGGCTTAGAGAATCCTGCTGCTGATGGCACAGGTACTGTGTGAGGATAAGGGGCGATTGGTTGGACAGCCATAATGTTTCGGTTTCCACTTACATCAGAAACAAAAATTCAACCAGACATAGATAATTCTTCTTTGTATTAACTTGACTGAATTATTGCTAATGCACTGAGGTGTTAATAGCAAAAACCATTTCCAACCAAAATGCCTAGTTTTACAACTGATGGAAGACCTTATACTCTTATTCAAGTAACATAATTTTTGACAGTTAAACATAAAGTAGGGTAACACAAGTAAACACTGTAGAACATAGGGAAACTTGTCATGCTAGTGGGCGAGTTGGGCAGTCTGTAGGATCAAATATTTGCAGACATGATTCTCCAAAAAATTTGTCTTTACATTGATTTGGGAATTAATAAGTTGCATGAACCCCCACACTGAAAAACGTTGACATCTAGAAAAATGACATCTATATTTTGACCATAAGCAGCTGCATGGACATAAATTTGAGGTCTAATTGACGCCAATGTCTAGTGCTTCTCACAGGGCAGTTACAAAATGTTGAATTTGGACAGGAACTGTCTTTTATTATTTTGGTAAATAACTATTCCTATGCTCATTTACTTGTCTGTGGATACTTTCACATACATGTTTCATTGCTCTCTGCAAAATGGGACCTCCAGACCAGCTGAGAAGCCCCACAAAAAATAAATTGACTTGGAGCGAACACACTGGGAAGAAACCACTAAACGGCCAATAGCCCAAGTCGGCTGCATACAGTGGAAGGTACTTAGTAATAAGATTTGTATCAAAAACAATATCATATTTTGTTGAAAAACATATATCAAATACATCAGATCACATGTCAATGAAATCGCAGATTTCAATATAGTAATAATAAC